TATCTTTCATCATATGTTGTTGACGTGTTATTAACATGTTGTAAATCTGTGTATGTGCAGGCGTTTATTCAGAGAGTTGAACAGAGGAAGCTGCTGCTGGATCTCGCTGTGTCTTTCTACACACACACCAAGGAGGTAACACACACACACACACACACACACACACGTAAATACTCTGAAGTACTAAAACGTACAATAGTAAAATGAACTGCAGTCGTAGACTGTAAATTAAGATGGCCGACATAAGAGCAATCAGAAGTGAAGTGACATCGTCTTCTTCTTCCCGCCCCCCCCCAGCTCTCGGCGTGGATGGACGGCCTCCAGAAGCAGCTCTCCTCAGACCTCTGCATCTGTCCCGACACTGTGGAGGCTCTGCAGACTCTCATCAGTCAGCAGCAGCAGCAGCAGGCCAACACCCAGGTACCTGTCCACCTCCGTCACCACCCGTCTGAACTGACCCCCACCATAACAACCTAACAGCCCCTATGACCGCTGAGCCGTGACCTCTAACCCCCACACTAACCCTCTAACGCTGACCCCACAGGAAGCTGCGATGAGTGTCATCAGGGAAGGAGAAGACCTCATCCTGCAACTCAGGTACACAGAGAGCGTGGGTGCGTTTGATTCCTGCCTCAGCGCTGCACAAAGAACCTGGTTATAACTTGTGTGGGTGCACTTGTTTCGCCCGTCAGGGCAGCACAGAGGCCTGATGGTGATGGGTGTGTTTGTTTGAGACATCAAGGCAGCTCATGTGATGAATACATTCTGTGTGGATGCTTTCCTTTTTAGATTAAGTCACAGGGGTGGGTGCCTTTGTTTTAAACGTGGGTGCATTTGTTTTCTAGTTCATGTAAAGTGTGGGGGGGGGTTTCTTCACCAGTTTGTGAGCTTTTCCTCTCTCGTTTGTGTGTTTAGCTTTTTGTAGAGTGAACAGAACCTGCATGGGTGCGTTTGATTCTGGCTTTGTTAAGCCGATGTGGGTGCACTTGTTTAAAGCGCCCGGCGGCTCAGAGGCCTGTGTGGAGTTGGTATTTGTGATGATTGTGGGTGTGGTGGTTTTACGTTATGTAAAACATGAGTGGAGTGTTTTTGAATTCGTATAATATATTTATATAGAATCTGTGAAGGTATGTTTGTTTTCCAGTTCGTATAATAAGTGTGGATGCGTTTGTTTCGAGGATAGCTCAGTCTTTGTGGGTGGGTACCTTTGACTTGTATGTATTTGCAGTTTGTTTGGGTTTGTTTTCAGTTTTGTTTAATGCGTGGGTGGGTTTGTTTCAGGCCCCAGGGCAGCTCAGTGGCCCATGTGGAGTCGGTGCTGCAGCAGCTGGAGGAGTCTCACGTTCAGCTGGAGGAGCTTTTCCACCAGAGGAAGATCCGACTGGATGTTTACTTGCAGCTCCGTATCCTGCAGCAGTGCACGCTGGAGGTACGCGGTTCTGTTAGAATTCACAGATGTGATCAGAATCATTGTCGGAAGCTTTGCAGCGGATCAACAACGAGCCGCGTGTCTTTGTTCAGGTAACAGGGGAGATGGATGCCTGGAAGCAGGACCTCCAGAAACAGTCCCAGGACTTCTCTACGGAGAAGCTAGCATCACAGCGGCTAGGCGACGTAAACCAGGACAAGCTAGCCCAGGACAAGATCAACCTGGGTCAGTCGAGGCTGGCGGAAGCTTGTCCAGAGGCACTGACGCTAGCGCAGCAACGCATCCACAGGTAAACAAGTGTGATGACATCACTCAGCATGACAACGACTCGTTAATAAAAGGTCATGACAGGCGATGATGCACTGACTGTTGATCTGCAGGCACATGGAGCGCAGGCTGGCTATGAACAACATGATCTATGAGGTCATCCAGCAAGGTCACGACCTCCAGCAGTATATCACCGAGGTCCAAGCGTCAGGTCAGAGTCACACACATCAACAGAACCTCCCTGATAACATGTTTACAGAGCAGAGACCGTGGATCCAGGGACAACGCGAGGGACTGTTGGACTGTTGGAGGACTCATTCAGTGTTTGAGGTTCTTCTTGAGTTTGTCACTGGTTCCAGCTTAACTGCTGCTTCTTCACGAGACCTGTGAATGTGTGACCGGTCTCTGGAATGAACCTGGTGGTCACACTGACGGGTTCCACCGCTACTGACGAGATCCTCCAGAGATCCTCCAGAGATCCTCCAGAGATCCTCAGTCATATTACATCATATCATCCGTAGGTTCCCTCGACTCCAGAGGACGGGACGGACATTCAGGGACCTTCAGTTGTAGAAGGTCTCGGAGCTCATCGAGTTGTTTTTAGTCTCGTTAGAGATTCATTCATCTGAACAGATGGAAAACTGTTCTCAGATCAGAGGAGGCGGCTGATCCCATCCTGATTCTAGGATCTTCAGCTCTACAGTCCAACACAGTAGAACTAAACAGAACAGAACAGAACAGAACAAAATAGAACAGGATAGAATAGAATGGAACAGGATAGAACAGGATAGAACAGGATAGAATAGAATGGAACA